GGGCCTTGAGCAAAGGTAGGCGATCAGAGCCCACCGTGAACTTGGACTGTTCCCACCAGGCAGCCTGTCTTCCTTGCTGCGCTCAGTGTGGGGACCCCTGAAGGACAATGAGAGTACTATCAGCTTTTACACGCGCCAGATCCTGCAGGGACTCAGCTACCTGCATGAAAACCGCATTGTGCACCGGGACATCAAGGTGGGCCCTGGGGCTTACTCACCTGGCCTGCTGGGGTTGCAGAGACTCCAGTAGATTCAGTGAGAAGACCCTTTGCAAAAAGGACGGAAATCATCAGGGAGTTTCCTTAAAGGAGAGAGGGTCAGATTTGAAACAAAACCAGGTACCAGTTCCCAGAGGGGATTATAAGTGGGATGGCAGGGGAAGTTGACATAGGCCAGGCTGTGGTCCCTAGAAGATGCAGTCCTAAGATGGGTGACCAGTTCTATATCAAGGACACAGCCCAGTGTCCACTAAGCACAGTGTCCACTCCATTCAGGGGGACAATGTCCTGATCAACACTTTCAGTGGGCTGCTCAAGATTTCTGATTTTGGCACCTCCAAGCGGCTAGCAGGCATCACACCCTGCACTGAGACATTTACAGGTACAGGGGTATGGGAGTGGTGAGTGGAGATGCAGAACTCTTAGAGCCCTACTAGGGAGCTGGGTTTTTCCTGGGCATGGAGTTAGAGTTCTAATACAGGCTGAAACCCAGGACAGGTGACTTGGCATGGGAGGGGTGAGGTGACAATCTAGAACTGTAGTGCTGATAACTAATGAAGTTGAGTTTAGCATATAAAATTGAGTACACATGTGTTGATGCAGGTCTAGATGAATGTTGGAAGCCAAGATGGATGGTAGAATTCAGAGGAGGTAGCAGGCTGTGTGTGTGTGGGGTGAATGCCTGCATTCCCAGCACTCGGGGGGCTGAGGCAGGAGGATTGCCAGAAGTTTGAGGCTAGCCTGAGCTACATAGTCAATTCAAGCCTCGCCTGGACTATATAGGGAGACTTTGTCTTAAAAAGAAAAAAAAGGCTGGGGATATAGCCTAGTGTCACAGTGCCTGCTTGCCAAGCATGAGGTTGTGAGTTCAATTCCTAGTACCCCCCCAAGTAAGATTCAGGGGGTGGTACAATCCAGGATACATGATGGAACAGCCCTGTGGGAAATGCAGTCCACGAATGTGATGAAGCCTCGGATAGATGGAATCCTTGGCAGGCAGTGGAGCCTGTGGTTGGTGATGAAGCTCAGGATAGATGGTTGATGGGCCAGGTAGATGATGGGAGCTATTTGAGATAACAGCTTCAGCATAGATGCAGGCAGCCAGTGGTTGATGGAGCCCTGCCCCTCCTATGATAGGGCTGAAACAGAAACTGCTGTTTTGCTCCCATTCTAGGGACCCTGCAGTACATGGCCCCAGAAATCATTGACCAGGGCCCACGAGGGTATGGGAAGGCAGCCGATATCTGGTCATTAGGCTGCACTGTAATTGAGATGGCCACGGGTCGCCCACCCTTCCATGAACTAGGGAGCCCACAGGCTGCCATGTTTCAGGTGAGACCCCTTGGGGCCCATGGAGGTTGGGTGGGGCTCAACTGGGCCTTGAACACCTCTAATCTTGGCTCTTGCTTGTCTCGCCCCACTAGGTGGGCATGTATAAAGTGCATCCACCGATGCCCAACTCTCTGTCAGCTGAGGCCCAAGCCTTCCTCCTCCGAACTTTTGAGCCAGACCCCCGCCTCCGAGCCAATGCCCAAGCATTGCTAGAGGACCCCTTTCTGCAACCTGGGAAAAGAAGCCGCAGCCCCAGCTCCCCTCGGCAAGCTCCTCGGACCTCAGGTGCTATGGGGGAGGAGGGACTGAGCAGGCTGGAAAGCCCAGGAGCTGTGGAGGGAGAGGGCTGACAGCTTGTTCCACCCTCACCAGATGCCCCTTCAGCTGGCCCCACTCACTCAGCCGACATGACCACGCAGTCCCTGACATTCCCGAGGCCTCAGGCACCCTCTCAGCACCCACCCAGCCCTCCGAAGCGCTGCCTCAGTTATGGGGACACCTGCCTGCTCCAGTAAGAGCCTAGGATACTACAGGGAATTCCCTTCACCTGGTTTTTCCTTTGTAACCTATCACCCTTCCTGAAATGCCTGTCTTGGGGACCTGGACCCGTTGACCACTTGCAGTAATGTATCTGATACGTACTGCCTATTCTCAGATGCTTTAACTTGTATTTACTGTGCTCCCTTCTGCAGTGCTAAATTTAATCTCCTTAGCCCTGAGGTAGAATTAAAGTAACAGCCAGGATTTGTGGTGGAGGTGGACAGGGTGGCAGAGGTGAAGGGATGCTGTTGCCCACCCTCCACCAGTCGCTTCCCATTGTGCATAGGGTGCCTGAGGAGCCCGGAGTCGAGGAGCCCGCTTCCCCGGAGGAGAGTTCAGGGTTGAGCCTGCTGCACCAGGAGAGCAAGCGCCGGGCCATGCTCGCTGAGGTGCTGCAGCAAGAGCTGCCCACGCTGGCGGACAATCTGCGCCCGCAGCGGGAGCAGGTGTGCGGCCTGTCCGAGCGCCCCCTGGTGGTCGAGAACGGGCAGGACAGCTAATGGCCCGTGGAACGCCAGAATCTCCTAGTCTGGTAGAGACACTTGCTGACGGCTCCTTCCTCCTTTTCAGGGTTCCCGTCTAAGCAGGACTCATGTGGAACAGCTGCTGCGCTGCCTCGGCACGCATATTCACACCCCCAACCGCCGCCAGCTGGCCCAGGAGCTGCGGGCGCTGCAAGCACAGCTGCAGGCGCAGGGCTTTGGGCCTTCCCTTCTGAGTGGACCGCTCTTCGCCTTTCCAGATGCGGTGAGGAAGCTTCCTTGCAGTTAGGGTTGGCTTGATGCTCCAGAATTCCATAAGAAGACAGGGGTCTGACCCGTTCCAGCTCTTCCCTGGACCCCAAGCCCGCCCACCCCACTTTCCTCCAGCAGAGATTTTTTGTTGTCACTGGGAATCGAACTCAGGACCTTGCGCTTGCCAGGCAGGTGCTTATGCCACCGGCAGAGACTTTAGGCTTTTCCTGACTCCAGCCCCACCCGGGTAATCAGCTGTCTTAGCCGCACCCTTCTTCCCCCTCCAGGTGAAGAAGATCCTGCGGCGGCGCCAGATCCGTCCACACTGGATGTTCGTGCTGGACTCGCTGCTTAGCAGAGCAGTCCGGGCTGCCCTGGCTGTGCTTGACCCAGGTAGGAGGGGCCGGCGCCCAGCGGCTTGTGGGCGAGGGTGTGACCCCGAGGGCTTAGGAGCACAGCCTGGGGCCTGTGGGGCGAGCTGGGAAGGAGCCTTGTGTGACTAAATAAGTTATCTCCAGACCGGTCTAGCTGGTCCAACCGAGGGTGTCGCCCTCCCAGGGCCAGTGCATGTGGGTCCCAAATGGGTGACCTCACCCTGCCTGAGTTCCCTCCACTCCAATTGGCAGAGGTGGAGAAGAAGACTGTCTCACCAAGGTCAGAGGAGCTGAGCAAAGACTGGGAGGCCCAGCAGAAGCCGCAGGAGACCCTGCTCCAGACAGAGCCGGAGCAGAGCCCCCTGCCTCTGATAGTGCAGCTGGGCCTCTTGAGGGCCGAGACTGACCGGTAAGGCCCGGCACAATGACCTGCACAACCTGCGCGGACCTCAGCCCACTCCCCACTCCATTTTACTCTTTGATGCTCTAACAGGCTTAGGAATGTCCTGGTGGAGAAGGAACGGGAGTGCCAGGCTTTGATGCATCGGGTACTGCAGCGGGTGAATGGGGAAGCCAGATCCTATGCCCTGGCCTCAGAGCCTCCAGGTGAAGCGACCTAGCTGGAGGAGGTTGGTAATGGGTGTGAGGCGGCCTCCAGCAGGAAACTGCCAGGCTCATCTCCCTTTTTCTTGACAGTAGCCCTTGAAAAGGACCAGAGCCTGGTGCAGTGGCTACAGGATCTAAGCGTGGATGCAGGGACCATCCAAACGGTGAGCGGGAAGTTGCTGGCCATCCCTGACCCCGCCAACCAATTCAACCTCTGCCCATCTGTCAGCGTTTCTTTCATTTCCCTCTGCTTGCAGAGACTCTCCATACTGAAAGAGCGCTTAATGTATCCCTACCCCAGTACAGATGGGAAAACAGAGACTCAGAAGCCAATGTGCCTGCCTCAGCCTTTTGGTGGGAGAACAGGACTAGTACCAGGGTCTCGGAGACATCCCTCTGTAATGTTCTGTTTTTTTGGGGGGGGCGGTCTTTGTCCACAACCAGCTACTGAAACACAGCTTCACCCTCCAAGCCCTACTCACCTGTGCCACTCGAGATGACCTCCTCTACACCCGAATCAGGTACACCTGGCCCCTCCAGGGATGAACTGGGTGCCCACAGGGCCTGATCGGGCCAGATGCTGTCCCCAGCTACACGCCTGCCTAAGTTTTTCCCTGGAAACCGTAGGGCCACTAGTGTCCCCTGGGGACAGGGGTGGCCATAGGCAGACCATGGGTCCCAGAGAGAGCTGAGACCCTCTTCTGGCTGAGCCACATTGAGTCCACTGTCCCCAGGGGAGGGATGGTATGCCGCATTTGGAGAGCCATCTCAGCACAGCGAGCAGGAGCTACATCTGGAACCCTGGGACCCCGCGAGGCTGAATGAGGGCAGCAGAGGCAGGACAGATGCACAGATGGATGAATAAATGGAGAAGACGAGAAGCAGCTCCTGAAACACCTACCCCAGGACCCAAGGGCACCTGCAGGAGACTGGGAAGGGGGCCGCAGTGGGGCCCAGGCCCAGCCTTAGTGTGGAGAAGCAACTAGAAAGACACCCAAGTGTCTGGTAAACATGACCAAAGACTATTAGACAGTGTCCTGTCTTAGCCCTTTGGAGGGTGTATGTGTGGTATCCTGGGAACATTCCTTGAAGTCTTTGTGTCTAAGTCTCGGTGCCTTAATCTGATCCCTTTTCCACCTCTCTCTCTCTAGCACTTTACCGCCTGTGTCACATCTTCAGCAGAAACCAGCCCTTAGTGACCTCAGAAGAAACTTTATTAACTTTAGCCAGCGGCAGACCCTGGGATGGGGGCTCTGAGACAGCGGTTGGGTAGGGCTAAGTCCTGGGGATCAGGTTGGTTCTGAGGGGTAGAAGGCCATCCACCCACTCACATGGCCGCTCCAGGAGTGTCTGCCATAGGTGCTTCTCCTCAGGGGTAGAATCCATCCAAGGCACCTGGAGCCCGTAGCTGCTGCCTGGATGGGGGTGGGCACAGGTGTGGGCACAGGTGTGGGCACAGGTGTGGGCATGGTCACCCTGGACATATCAGGTCCCAACATATTATGCACTGTGCCCAGTCACCCCCAGATCTTGATGGAAAAAGCTCAGGAAAGGGTAGAGTGGTGCCGAAGGCCACCCATCGAGCCCCTGCCTCCCAGTTTGACTCCCTCTAGGGCCCTGCTCTGCTTACCAGTACCCAGGCTGAGGCGAGTGCCCCCCAGCTGGCGGCTGCCCAGGGCCCCGTGGTCCCAGAGGGAGAGCTCAGCACAGGCCTGGCGCAAATCAGCAGGCCCAAAGCCATCGTAAACCATAGTGTGGTTGAATGTGGGGCTGAGGCTGTGTCGCACCACCCTTGTACGCTGGCGGCCAGCTCGACTGTCATCAGGCAGCACTGAGCTGTGGGAAAGGTGGGCAGCTATCAGGCGACTACTCCCCAGCCCCAAGAGCCAACAGTGATCTAGTCCTATCCTTTTTCCTTCACTTGTGTCCATATCCCATGGCTTGGGCCTGAGACCTGGCTTCTAACTTCACCACCCTGGGACCTTTGCACCAGTCTCCTCTGAGCCTTTAAATGGACAACTTCTGGGCTGGGGATAAAGCTTATTGGGCACAAGCACCTGTTTTGCATGAGCAAGGCCCTGAGTTTGATTCATGGTACCAAATGATAATAAATTTACAACTTTCATTCCTAGGACAGAACCTGAAGTGATGTCTCTGAAATGTAATTTTCTGCTACTCTCTGATACAGTGATCTTCATTGATGCCCTGTTGCTCCTACACCCCAATTAGTGTCCCTAGTCTTTCTGCAAAATAAAGTATTGCTCAGAAGTACAATAACTGAAAGAAAAACAGTGGAAGCCTGGAATTTGATGGGCCTACCTTCATTTTATTCTGTGAGGGGCAGGGCCTAAAGAGAACCCCCACCCACACACTCCCTTTTTGAGACAAGGTCTCACTATGTAGGCTGGCCTGGAACTCAGAGTAATTCTGCCTCAGCCTCCAGAGTACTGGGATTATAGGCATGTGCCACCATGTCGGCTGGGAAGCCTTTTTTGTGGTACTGGGGATTGAACCTACAGCCTTTGCACAGGTAGCCCTTTTTATTTATTTGTGTACTTTTTGAGACAGTATCGTGGTAAGTTCCCTGAGCAGGAATCAAAACTTGTGATCTTCCTGCCTCAGCCAAAGCATGGCCACCATGCCCAGCTTTGGAGGTACCCCTAAAGGTCCCTTAAAGCTTACTTTGAGAACCACTGGGCTGGAGGTGTAGAACTTTGGCTTAGACAGACCTCATGTCCTGCATTTGATCTCAGCACTAGAAGGAGAAAACTCCCTAAGTGCAAATGCTAGGCCAGCCCCCACAGCCTGGCCTTCCAGATTCTCCATGGAGGGACCCTGTGGTCTCTCAGTCTCAGCTCTCCAGTTAAGTCCTGCAGACAGCACCAGTCTCCCTGAAACAAGTCCTTAAAGTAGTCCTCAGCTTTCCCTACTCCAGGCCTGTGTCCCAGCCCCAACCCCAGCCTGGTGACCAGGGCAGAGTGCAGAGGGTGCTCCTAGGTCTGAGCAGCTCAGCAGGCACCGGAGTAGGCAACAGTGCTCACCACTGCACGAATGTGTCCAGAGATCCAGAACGCAGTGGCACGAGGTTCTGAGCTTCCTTTACCCAGAAGTGCAGCTCCCCGCTCACGGGCTGTCCCCCACCTGCAGAGAGCTCAGCTCAGGTCCACCCTGGGTTGAGCCACCTCCTTGCTCAACAGGGATCTGCTGTCACCCCAGACTCATCCAGGTTGGCCTCTCATGGTGGGTCACTTACCTTCGGAGCCAGCAGGGATGTATTTGAGAGATAGCGAGAGGAGACCTCGGCTGGGCAGCTCACTGGGAGAGGGTGGGACCTGCGACAGCCAGAACTGGGCTGGTCAGCGGGCAGGGATTAAGCAATGCCTCCAGATACATGGTGTGGCCATCCTGGGCCTTGCTCTAAGGGTTTGGGGGGGGTTCTTGGAGGGGCTCTGCCCAAGGCAATGTCCTGCTGGGGCACAGCCATGGAGGTAGAGGGCGCTCCATAGGACGCTCACACAGGCCTTGCTGCCCTACCTACCCGGGACTGCAGGGTGAGCCATGTGGGCTCGGAGTCCCAGTTCCACGTGTCCAGGGGCACTTCGACTTCGCCCAGAAAGATGTTTCGACCCAGGCTTTCACGATGCCACACGGACAGGCTCAACACTCGACCCGGGAGTTGAGTCTGAGGGACAGAGTACTGGGGACAGGAGGTGGCTTTAGTACATTCTTCCTGGTGGTTCTGCCCTGCACAAGTTGCGATGTGGGGGGTGGGGGAGGATATTAAAGGGGGGGAGCAGTGTAGAGTAGGTCAACCCAGGCCTCTTGTGGAATGGAGGATTGGGACATCAGCCCGGGTGGAAATGGCATCCCCTGCCACTTCATCTCTCCTGAAGAGGAGCCCTGTTCACTAATGTGGTGCAGCCTCACCCGGAGAATCTCGTTAAAAATCGGATTTAGGTTCCGTTTCTTCACAGCTGTCTTGCGTTTGCTCTGCTTATCTGGGAGGAGGTAGCTTTTGACGTAGCTGGGGCAAGGAAGGGGAGGGCCGGAGGTAAGGAGGGGACCCTTCTTCCCTGCCCCTCCTCAGCCACCATCTACAACACTGCGTCCTACGTCCTACATGTAATACCTTGTGCCACTCTACAGAAATTACCTCCTTAATTCCCATGTTTCCCCCCCTTTTTGGGACGGGATCTTGCTATGCAGTGCAGGTTGGCCTTGAGCTCACTTTGTAGCCTGAGCTGGTCTCAAGCTCGCATCGATCCTCCTGCCTCAGCTTCCCAAGTGCTGGGATTACGGGCATGCGGCCCCACCCCCACCCCATGTCGTTATCTTTGTGAGGATGAGGAAAGTGACATTAAGGAAAGTTGATGTCGGGCTGGGCTGTGAGAATGACTGTGCCTCCCGCCCTGAACGCTGCACGAACGCTGCACTCACGGGTCCGAGCGGCGGCGCCGGGCAGCGGCCAGGCCCTGGCACTGGATCACATGCACGCGCAGCTCCTGGGCCCCGGGATCATAGCGCAGTGCGAAGTTCAGGGAGCCGCACACCTGCACCGCGCCCGCCTCCACCTCCCCGGACAGGCTCATCAGGCTGCCGCTCAGCTGCAGGAGAGGGTGGGGGAGGTCAGGGCCGGCGCGGCGCAGAGGGGTAGGGAGGGAGAGGTGGCCCGCACTTGTATGGGGGTGGGGAGCTGGGCCCCAGGTCTCCCCGCACCCCTCACCGTGGAGGAGGTGAGACTGGACACGGAGGAGCTGCTGCTGAGCATGCGGTCGAGGGAGGGGCCGGGCCCTGGGGCCTCTTCCCCGTTCTCCAGGATCTCCGACGCCACTCTGATCTGAAGAACGGGACAGGGACAGGACGCTCGCTCTCACACCGAGGGACGGTGCGCAGCCCGGGGCAGGAGCGCTCCCGCCCGGGATCCGCTCCGGGTCTTTCGAGCAGCCACGGGCGGCTCCCGCCTACCTGGGCCGGCAGGGGCCCCGGCTCTTCTGCGGTCTTCCTTGTCCCCAGCGCGGGCTCCGGCTCCGGCTCCGGCTCCAGCTCCGGCTCCGGCTCGGGCTCGGGCTCCTCTTGCTCCGCGTCCACCTGCGTGCTCCCCGAGCCGGGGCCGGGGGCTGGGGCATGGTACAAGCTGCTGAGTGCGTTCCTTTCCTGCCCACCGGGACTGATTCACAACCCTGGTGACCTGCAGGGCAGCGCTAGGGCCACCGTGGCGGCCACACAGTCACCCACACGGAAAGAGGAAGGTGGACGTGGTGACTGGGGTCACTAAGGGCCGCCTTTGATCCCTGCAACCTCTCTTGTGCTTCCAACACAACTCCCACTCACCTTCCTGGATCTGGGGCTCCTCCTCATGATCTGAGACCTTTAGAGGGGCCTGTGGTGAGGGGAAAGCAGGTCCCTAAGGAAATTAAGGGGTAGAGGTCACAGTGGGGGCTAATGAAGAAGGGGCCAAGGGTCACGGTGGGGTCAGAGATGAGAGAATCCAGCCCAGCTGGGCTAACCCTGCTTCAGATGTAGGGCAGCATGCAGAGCAGGCCTGGCAGCTGCTGTGGACCACCGGTCTGGTCTGCACGGTCACACCCTCACACCGATCGCCTCCCCCCCCCCCCCCCCCATGGGCCTGCCAGCTGCCCAGACTTATAGTATCTGAGCTCTGGCTCCAACTCTCTCTGTCCTGCCTGCCCATTCCAATGGCTAGCTTCCTCCAGAGGTAGCCCACACCACCATCTGCCCCAAGAAGGGAAGAACTGCATCCCAGGTCTCCAGATTTGTGTGGCCAGGCTGCTTGCCCAGCACATCCAACTGCACTCTGGGTGCCGTGCATTAGTAGCTCATTCTGCCAGTCTTTCCATACTCACATGAGTCTCATCCCGCCTCTCTTGAGGGGCCTCCTCCTCTACGGGGAGCCTAGGGTGAGGTGGCAGAACTGGTTTTCAGGGGAAGGGATTGGGTAAGGAATCACCCACCTCTCCCTGGGAGGCCTCCTCACCTGGACCCTGACTCTTCAGTCTCTTTCCCAGCAGCCTCAGCCTCTCCATCACTGCCCGGAGCTTGGTCTCCTGGGCCCAAGTAAGAAGTCCTGTGACTGCCCCATTCTCAGGAAGTCTATAACCCACAGGAGGGGCCCCTGATGATGCTAATCCCACCCCAAAACACTGAAGCTCAGGCACCCCTTCCCTGTCTACTCCACCCAGCCAGCACCCTACTGGGTCTCCTCTCACCCCTAGAGCTCTTCTTCCTGCGGATAGAGGCTCGGACAAGGTCAGAGCCCAAGTGGGTATGTTGGTGCCGTTGGGAACGTGCCTCCTGAAACCAGTCTCCTGTCAGGATCTTCAGTTGCCTGGGGTCTGCCAGCGAGGCCCGGAGCTTGCTGGAGAATAGGGGAGGGCATGGCTGTCACTACTTATCCAACCAATAGTCTTGCCACCCAATTGGGGCCAGCTCTCAACAGCAAATCAAATGTGACCCTTGCTATGGGGAGACTGAATCCAGAATGGTCAAGTATGCTATGGGGAGGTAGGTGCAGTGACGAATTAAGAAGGCCAGCTCCATGGGAATCCAGGATGACTTCCTGAAGGAGGTAAAACTCAAGTTCTTTTTTCTTTTTCCTGTGCTGGAGATTGAACCCAGGCCTTCACACATGCTAAGCAAGTGCTATACTACTAAACTATATTCTCAGCCCTGAATCACTTCTTCAAGAATAAACTGGAATTCCACAGATCAAAAAGGATATTTTTCTCTCGCTCCCTTGCTCTTTTTGGTACTGGGGATTGGACTCAGAACCTTGCACTTGCCAGGTAGGCACTCATGCCATGGAGCTATCTTCCTGGCCCCTGCATATTTTCTCTTAATTCTGAGATAGGAAGCTGGGCATGGTGGCACACATCTGTATTTCAAGTACTTGGGAGGCTGCGGCAGGAGGATTGCTGCAAGTTTGAGACTAGCCTGGGCTACAAAGTGAATTAAAAAAAAAAAAAATGGAATTCAAGGCCAGCCTGAACTGCATAGCGAGACCCTGTCTCAAAAAGACACACACACACACACACACACACACACGTGTGTGCGTGTGCACACACACACACACACACACACACACACACACACACACACTGAGACACGGCTCTGAAGTCCCACTTTACAGATCAGAATAGGGAAATGTAAGCTGCCCAACAGTACATGGCTAGAAGTGTCTGTCTATCCTTCAGCTGTCTGTCAGGCCCCTCTGCTGCTGTGCTCCTCCATGAAGAAGGCACAAAGAGCCTCAGCTTGGAAGTGAGGGCGTGTTGAGGGGTGCAGAGCACCCCTGAGGCTATAGAGGGTATCGTGTATGTTGTCAGATTGGGGCTGAGAGAAAAGATGAAATAGGGGAAACTGGCAGGGCAAGGCTTAGGGACCTGCCCCTGCCATAGGTGCTGCTTTGAGGTGGATGGAAAGATTGGGCCACCACGGAGGCTACAGAAGGAGCTGAGACAATCACCCCAGGAGAGGAGAGGAGCACTGAACTGGCCAAGGGCAGAGGGGCCCAGAGGACTCTGGCAGGCAGGTTCTGGTACAAAGCAGAGCAGGGGCCTGCCCAAACCTGCAAGCAACTGAGGCCCCTTCTTCCTGACCAGCAGCCACCCCGTCCCACCTCACCTGACACGCCCCTCATCCAGCTGGCGCAGGTGGGCATCTCGTCTGAGGACACCAGCAATGGCCTCTTGCTCCTCCTGCGTCAGGAAGCTGAGGTCCAACAATCCCTGGACCTCAGGCTCTGGGCCATGTGCCATGGGGAGGGAGGACAACAGCCCAAAGCCTCTCCTGAGATGTGTGGCCCCTCTGCGGCATCAGCTGGGGCCAGGCCCCAGCTGGGCACACGTGGATTCCTGGGGGCAGACCAAGGGCCAGATCAGTCTCTTTTCCCAAACAACATATCTGCCCTTCTCTCCCCAAATATGTGCCCCGTGGGAGGTAAGGGACAATCCCTGGAAGGGCAAGGCCAAAGTCATAGCCCCTGAACACACTCAGGGACATATTCAAAGTGTATGGAGACACTGGTGCCCTCACCTTGCAGTAGGGATACCTGAAGAACCACTGAGATGGCACACACAAACACACATACACACATTAACCTGGGGCAGGCAGGAAGACCCGTGGTCACATGTGCACACTGGCACTGTGTGAAGACAGGCACAAGCACACCTCTTACAAAGGAACCTGTGAAGACCCAGGCACGGCCCACACCCACACCAGAGCTGGGCTCTCATGATTTTACGCCTGCACAAAGCTCACGCAGACAAAGGGAGCCAGAGACCTGCCCTGAGAGGTTCCTCTGCACAAGGGTAAGTCTGCGGACAAATACATGCACCTAGCTAAACCCAAATCCCACTGTCTACACGCATTGCCAGTGTAACTGTTTGCAGGGTCCTTGAAACTGGGGATAGGTCAGACTCCCCAAAGCAGGGCTTTGCACATGGCAGATAGCTGGTGTTTGATTAAATTAAAAAATACACCTGCACACACATGGAACATGGAGCACACACACGCACCCCACACATGCACTTATGCACACCTGCATTTGCTCATCCCCCGACCCAGGAAGCCTCCCCATCTGGGGCTGTGCCCCAGTTCTTCACCTCCACCCTGCCCTGGCCCATTTGGCCTTCCTGTCTGAGGCAACCTCCTCCCCAGCCCATACCCCCAACTTCCTCCCCTCAGGTAACCGCAGCCCCCACTCCCACGGGGGCCACCAGCCCCAGGATTCCCCCACCACCAGCTCTGCTCTCTTGCCCTGAGCCCCTGGGCCTCTCTGCCATGGCTGCGTGGCTCCCCCAGCCCTAGCAGCCTAGGATAGCGAAGCAGGTCATGCCCAGGCACTACCATGACTTGGAAGGAAAACATTTGCCAGCTGAGAGGGGCATGTGGACATGTCAGGGGCAAAGCACTAGGTTGTGGCTTCAGCCCAAGCCCACCGGGCAGTCCGTCTTCTTTCCCACCCCTTCCATGCTGGGGTTCCAGGTAGGAGAGAGATGGAAGAGGGTGGCTCAGTGGCAGGTCCTGGCTTGTGCCTGCTGCTTCCAGTGCCCTGTCCCCTCCTAGATGAGTCAGTGCCCTAGCTGAGCAAGCCTGTTCCCCTGCTAACCACTCTGAAGGGTCGGGGGTTTTTGAACATCTGTGTCTATGGGACCCTGTGTGCTCCTAGGTGACAACGTTCTAAACTACTGTGTCTAAGACACTGGCTGTCACTCAAATAGCTTTGGGTTCTTCTGGGCCATTTCTGTCGTATACCATGTGCTTCGTGAGCGCCGTCTGGCTTGGTGGGCATGTCTGCATGCCGAACATTGGAGGAGCCCAGGTAGTGTCTGGGTGTGTTGCTGCATGATGCCCCGGGCCGACTGACTAGGTTGGCTACGTAGGATATTTGGGACTTTCTGGGTGATAGCGCTATGTGGGTGTGTGCACTGGGTGCATTTCCTTCTTTGCTGTCTGCAAGGCTAAGCTGTGTGTTGCGATGTGTGATAGATGTGTGATAAGGCTCCTGGGGGCCACTACATGTGTATGCTAAGGCGGGGGGGGGACACTTGACAGAACTAAGCCTGCCCTTGTCTTGAAGTCTGCCTGGACTGAGCCACTGGCATCCAAGCCCGGTGTCCCCCTTCCTGAAGTCCCCTCACCTTCCAGGGGTTGATCAAGCACCTGGTCCTCCCAGTGTCAACACTACAGGCAGACCCACTGGTACCGCAAGGGTCTATCTGCCCAACCAGTCCTGTCCTAGACATGCTCCCACCTCCCCCACCCCAAGATGCCAGAGGGTAGCCAGGAAACCAGGTGGCAGTGCCTGCTCCTGGGGACATGGGCAGGGGGACTTGGCCCCTAAGTGTGTTACCTGTAGAGGTCCAGTATAGGAGGAGGACGCCTTCTCAGGTGGCTCTGACTCCAGGGCAGAGCTGGCGAGTTTCAGGGGCCAGGGAAAGAGCTGCGAAGGCCTAAGGCTGACTGGCCCAGCGCACCAGCTGCCCCAGCCAGCGGGAGGGGGAGGAGGAAACACCTCAGCAGGGCCTGGTGCAAAACCGGGCCTGGATTCCCGGCTCCCTGGGGTGTGGCCCCACAGTTGCTCTCGGGGAAGCCAGGGCTGGCTTGGGCCTGGGCGTGGCCCCGGGTCCACTATAGCATCCCTGTAGTTCAGGCAGGTCCGGTGCAGCAGAGCCTTGACTGGCTTGTTCATAAAATGGGTAGCCGCCTCGGAGCTGCCCCTCCCTACTCACAGAGGAGTTGATAGGAAACTGCTTTGAAAGCAAAGTTGAGACACTGTTTACTAAGAAACAAGAGTAATGGAAGGTCTGCAAACTGGTGAAGTTCTGTACTGTTTCTAATTGTTTTATTTTTTTATTATTTTGTATTCTTTTCAGATAAAAAAATTTTAAAAGTTCTTTAAAAAGGAAATAAAGTACTTGTACAAGATGGCATGCAGTAGGTGCCAGGTATTCCTTTTCCAGCACTACCCAGTACGCATGTACTCAGCACCTCTGTCCACTCCGTGCATCCACCTCTAAGGAAGTGCGGGTCATAGCCCTCTTTGTCCTCTGTGCCACTCTGGGTCCCACCTACTTGAAGAGGCCTGGACTCTTCCAATGCCAGAGTGAGAATCCTGTACCCTGTCTATGGAGAACCCCTCTGAACACCTCATTCAGCACCAAGATTTTGCTCACCCTGAGAGCAGAGCTTTGGGCTTTAGAGGACATCAGCTTTGGGGCCATGATTCTGGGGCTGTCTTCATTCTGGTTGGGCACAAGAGGTCACCCAGGGGCCGGGGAGATGGCTCAGTGGAATACGCGCTTCCCTGGCAAGCGCAAGGGTCTGAGTTCAATTCCTGGTTCCACCAAAAAAAAAAAAAAAAAAAAAAAAAAACAAGGTCACCCAAAACCTGACTCCCCCAAGTCTGCTTCATTCCAGCCTGCCTGTCTGCCCTCATTCTTCTGCACTTGGCAGACAAGATGTCACAGACCTGGGAGGAGGTGGACAAGGGCTGGGTCCTAAAGGAAGCCTCCCCTCTCCCCTCATCAGAACCAGCTCCCATTTGAACATCCCCATCATTCTAAAAAACTGAAGAGGACCTTTCTCCACTTTCCCCCACAGTCCAGTCTCTGCAGGCCCATCTTATTTTTTCCTCATCTGTCAAGTGGGGATAATAATTCCTATCCAGAAGACTTTTAATATAATTCACTCCAAGGCCCTTCCCCTACCTACATACCTTCATTTTACAGTACTGGGGATTGACCTCAAGGCTTAGGCGTGCTAGGCAAGTGCTGCACCACTGGGTTATATTCCTGGGCCCATTCATTCATTCGTTCGTTCGTTCCCCCAGGCTGACCTTGAACTTTCCATTGTCCTGCCTCAGCCTCCCAAGTTGCCAGGATCAAAGGGCCAGTTCCCTAGACTCAGTAGATAGGTGTGTTTACATATGCCAGATCCAGTGAGTGTCCACTGTGCAGAGGGGACATCTGCTCTCCCCAGTGGGGCTCCCAGAGGAGGCCAGTGGCCAACAGCACTCACCCCTCACCTAGGGCGTTTCTTGAGCCTCTCCTTGCAGCAGCCCTGAGGGTATCAAGCCTGTCTCCTCACAGGCCGTTTCCCTTCCTTCTGCCTTCACGTAGTTCCTGGACACTTCCTAGCCAAATCTCTACTGTCATCTTATCCTGGCCAGGGGTAGACATAACCAACGACACCAAGAGGGAAGGAGCTGAGGCGAGAGGGAGAAACAGTAACACACCCTGGACTCAAAGCTCTTTATTGTCCTGCCAGGAAGCTCCTCACAAAGGAGTCCATAGGGCAGGGGATGAGGCGGCTGCACAGGGCCCTTCTGGCAACTGACAAGATGTCACAGACCTGGGAGGAGGTGGACAAGGGCTGGGTCCTAAAGGAAGCCTCGACTCTCCCCTCATCAGAACCAGCTTCCATCTGAACATCCCCACCATTCTGAAAATGGGGGTGGGGTCAGGTGGGAGGAACAGCCCCTCCCAGCTCCATGAGGGCACTGGCTGCTCTGACCCTCTTCTCATACTTGGGACTTATGGTGCCATCGCCTGCAAGCAGCCTATCCCCCAGCTGGGGCCAAGTGCAGTCTACACTGCCTGCTCTGCAGTCAGCTTCCCCAAACTGCACCACCCACCATGCCAGCCCAGCCCCACACTGCAGGGGGAGATGAGCTGGGCCCTGGGAGCCCTGGGAGAGCAGAGGGTGCTGGAGCCTGTCCAGCCCCTCTGATCACTTTGGAGTACACTGGGGAGGCACTGGGTAGCTCAGTTCATGGGCATCTTCGTGTCCCACCTGGCTGGAGGCCAGTGCCAGCGGTCATCACAGGGTGGCCTTGCCGGTGGATCCTTGTGCGCACTGGGCACTGTGGCAGGAAAAACTCTACAGAGGGTGGTGAGGCGGGCAAGGAGGGTGGGTCAAAGGCCCAGAGGGAGGGGACAAGGAGCTCCTGAAAAGCCACTGAGACACAGCAAGCACAGAGCCCTGCCCCACGCTTGTCCTTAGCACTTCTGTCCCCCATCCCAGACCCCAGGTCCTACATGGCAGGCACAGTCTCTCCTAGGGCTGAAGAGGAAAAAACCTGGGGCCAAAGGGTGGCACTGCCTCCTCAGGAGCCCAGTGACTTGGGGCCACCTGGCAGCCATCACCGCAGGTTGAAGACTAGGCTGACAGTCAGGATGATGCCCAAGAGGAGGAGGAAGGGCAGCCAGGTCTTCACGAAGGCCCCGATGCTGATGGAGGAAGAACAGCAGGGTGAGAGGCGCAGGGCCGAGTCCCACCCACCCACAGCCCTGATGGGGCCACTAGCCCCCAAGAAGCTCCTGGAATTGCTCCCTTAGCCCCAAACTTGGTCAACATGGATGGCCTGGTGCCCACTGTGGAGGCTCCTCAGCTCCTGGTAATGTCCAAACTGTGGGTCCTATCGGCTCACACACAATTACTAGGTGAGGACCAAGAACTTCAGCTTGGGGATGGAAGCCATATGTGGCCTAGGGAGCCTCGCTGGCAGGAGTGGGCAAGTGCCAGCAGTGCCAGGCTGGCTTGGCTCGACTCTGGCTCTGCCTCAGTCTCTGCGACCACAGCTATGTCCTTTTCATGGGGCCTTTAAAAGCCTTTCAGGAAAGAAAGAAAACACCTCCAACAGACTCCTTTTCAGAGGCTTTTAGGGATGAGCACAGCTAAGCGGAACACTTGGCAGGCAGGCAGATAACCCAAGTCTGTGCTGGCTCCTCAGTCTGGGTGCTGCTGTGGCCACGCTCCAGGACACGGGCAACTCACTCAGCCTCTCTGAGCTCCCTCTGCTGGGATCTGGTGAGGTCCTGGACAGGTAAAGAGCTGTGACTTCAAAGGTCGTCTACCTGGGCCACCAATGGACCTTTCTACCCAGAACCCTGCCTCCGACAAGTCATGCCTGGGAAGGGATTCATGGGCCTGGTCATCACCCAACCCTGTGCAGATCTGTCTGCTTATAGTACCTGAGCAGGCGGCTCCCCAGGGAGTCAGAATCCTCACCCCCATCTTACCAAGGGCAGTGACAAAACAGAGGTCACTGCAGCTACCCAAGGCTGCCACTGTGAGCAGGTGACAAGCTGGACTCCAGCACGGACACCACCCCCTCCCTAGGAGCTCAGCTTTCTAGAGCCATTGCAGTTCTAGCTGTCCCAGATGACTGAAGGACTCTGGAAATGGCTGGGATCTTTGGAGGACAGCCCAGGGGCAGGGGCAGGTGGGCCCAGCTCACCTGATGTACTTCCCATAGAGCAGGCAGAAGAAACAAAGGGTCACCATATTCCAGTTGGTGCTGTTGTTGTAGCGCATCAGATTCAGGGCCAGTGCCACATGTGAGTGGCAGTTGTCACAGCAGAGGTTGTGCTGGAGGCCCAGAAAGGGGTGAGTTAGGAGAGGGTGGGGAAATCTCCTGTCCCAACCCCCGCGCACTAAGCCTGCCTACCATTCGGTGCTTGTACTCCTCCGAGGCATCATGCACAGCGGTGTCCCACGCGTTGGGCCCACTGGCGTACACCTGTGCGGGGTCTAGCTTCCAGTACCTGAGGAGGACAGGGCGTCTGGGCACTGGCTCACCTCGCTTGTGGCCTCTCAGCTCTGAATGCTCCTCATGGCTGCTGTGAGAGTCCAGAGCTAGATGCTGAGCTGGGAGGTAAGCCAGTTCCAGAACAAAGCCACACAGCGGACAACGGTAACCCAGTGCCACAGCAGATCTGGGAGGCCATGGAACGTAGCCAGGGGTGTTACAGGGTGCTGAACCCTAACTCCCACTGTGGAAGTATTAGGAGGTGAGATTTGGGGAGGTGACTGGGCAATGTGTGTGTGGGAAGCTCATGAGGGGGATCAGGGCCTGCACAAGAGGAGGGAGAGAGGCTGCTCCCCACAATCGATGAGAGGACACAAGCAGGTACTGCAGGCCTTCACCAGGCAGGGAATCTGCCGGCACCTTGAGCTTGGCCTTCCTAGCCTCCAGAGCCACGAGAAAGCCATTTCCATTGTTTATGAACTACCTACTCAACGGTATTTTGTCATGGCAACCTGCACTGGAAGAAGACAGAGTACAGGAGGAAGCTTGCTTGCTATTTATTTATTTATTTATTTATTTATTTATTTATTCATGCAGAACCAGGGATTGAACACAGGCCCTTGCGCTTGCCAGGAAAGCGCTTATTCCACTGAGCCATCTCCCCGGCCCAAGGAAGCTTTTTAGAGGTGACACCTGAGTCTAATCTGAAGGATGGGGGAAGCCTCACAGGATGGAGGCTACTATAGGCTGAGGAACAGCTTGAGCAAAGTGAAAGGCACAACACTGCAGTGTGTCCCACACACAAGTCACTGGGGGGTGACTGAGAAGGAACAACAGGGTGACAGAATGCTGGTGGGTGATGCAGGAGATACAGCAGGGACCACCCCATGCAGGTACTTGAGTGGCTCACTGTGGGGCCCACCTGGCAGCTAGGGTTATCCGCAGGCCTCTCCACCCTTCTGTTGGACAAGGGACAGAGAAGCGGTGGAGATGAAGCCTGTGAGTGTCCAGCTGGGTGAGGACTCGGAAATCCAGGGCAGGTGTGCTGGGAGACACAGCGCCCTCTGGCCCTGGTGTGGGGAAATGGCCTGGTAGAGGACCCTGGAGACAGCCAGAAACCATAGAATACTCTACACGCTGTCTTTGAAAAATTTGGGGCTAGGGAGATGGCTCAGTAGAATAAGCACTTGCCTGGCAAGCGCAAGGGCCTGAGTTCAATCCCTGGTTCTGCAAAAAAAGAGAAAAATTTTAAAAAGCCAAGTGCAGTGGCCTGTGTCTGTAATCCCAGCAGTCAGGAGGCCGAGGGAGGACTGCTATGAGTTTGAGGACAGCCTTGGCTAGCGAGTTCAAGACCAGCCTGCACTACATAGTGAGACCCTGTCTCAACCTCCCCACCCCAAAAACCAACAAAATCAAAATTGGTTCCATGATGGGAAGTGACATGCGCACTAAACACTTTGACGCAAGACCTGTGGAGGGCCAGGGTCCTCAAGGAATGGGGCCTGGAACTCCAGCAGGAAATGGTGGAGGGAGACAGGAACATGAAGGCCCAAACAAAAATCCCGGGATTTTAGATGTGATATCTAGGCTTTCATTCCAGTTTGGTTCTGTCTTTTGTTTAGATACTACTTTAAAATTTTTTTTTTACTTTTAAATTCTTGCATTTTAGTAAGAAAGCTATCTTTTTATGGATGTTAGAGGTTTACTGACCTAATTATTTCAAAATGGTCTGTTTGGGCAGGTAAAATTATGTAATGTAGTGTTTGAAATGGGAAAACATTTTTTCCTTTTTTTAACTATATAATGTCCTCAAGTTAATGGCAGTGTGCTTTGTGCCACTGAATTCCCAAAGTGTACCAATATTTTTTAATGTGCTTCAAATAAATAGAAGAAATAGTTACAATACTGATCTTCAAAATAAATAAATAAATAAATAGAGGCTGGGGAGATGGCTCAGTAGAATAAGCGCTTCCCTGTCAAGCACAAGGGCCTGAGTTCAATCCCTGGTTCTACCAAAACATAAATAAATAAATAAATAAATAAATACTGTCTTTGAAAAGCAGCCTAGCAGCAAATGCCAGACTCAGAGGCCCCTGGACTACACTTCCACCTGCATGAGGAAGTCAGAGCAGGCTCAGGGAACTCTGCTCAGAGCCACTTCCGCTGTGGGACACCCACCCCTCCTCAGCCCCCACGTCTCCTGTCTCCCGGCATCCTCTGGGGCACTGCTGCTGCTCTGAGAACAGGATGTCAGAGGCGCCGGCACTGGGTGAGCACCTGAGACGAAGGAAATGAAGACAGAAGCCGCCAACTAAATCAGCTCCTCTCTCCAAGGGCCTGAGCTTTTACTTTTTCCAAGCAGCACTAGCAAAGTTCTAAATGGTACCCCTCATATACTTTTGTTCTCTGGTACTAGGGACTGAACCCAGGGCCTCTGCACTGAGCTACAACCCCAGTCCTTTTTAATTTTGAAACAGTCTCACTAAGTTGTCAATGTTAGGGTCAAACTTGTGTTCTTCCTGCCTCAGCCTCCCAGAGTTCTGGGATCACCACCCCCTACACACACACCTTAAATGGCCTGTTTGCTCCTGAGGGGAGGAGTGAGTCCAGGTTGTACAGGGAGACAGACCTGGTTGTGAGCCCTGCTACTATACTTCCTAAGTGTGTGATCCTGACAAGTCCCTTCTCTTCCATCACCTCTGCCCTGGAGCAGAAAATGACCTCATTGAGCTGGGGCAAGGCCTGTATGTCTACAGGTGAAGGCCAGCCTGGGCTGGTGTAGCAGGTGCTTTGAAGAAGACTTCTAGGGGCTGGGGAGATAGTGCAGTGGCATAAGTGCCTGCCTGGCAAGTGCAAGGACCCACATTCAATCCCTGGCACAGAATGCCATACCAGCCCTGGATATGCCTTGCCAGCCCAAAACTGTAATTCCAGTGCTGGGGAGGCTGAGACAAGAGGATCATTATGAGTCTGAACTGCTTGAGACTTTGTATCAAATAAAACAACTTCTATGCCCTGGTGGGCACTGGCTGCTCCCCTCATATTCTGCCCTCAGCGTGCTGGCTCATACTGTGCCCTAGAGGGCCTGGCCTGCTGCTCTGGGCAAGAGGAACCTGACCTTGGGGCCATCACATGGGGGCCATCACTTACTTGGCGGGTTTTCCAAAGGCCATGTTGTCTTCCTGTCAAGGGACAAGAGCAGAGGTTAGTGGGAAGCCAGCATCCAGGCCGGACCACAAGTCTGGGTCAGTGGCTCAAGGGCAGTGACAGTGACACAGGAGGGGGCACATCAGGTGGGCATAGTGGGGCACAGGCCTGCTGGGGGCTGGCACGCTACCTAATGTGCCAACAGCAGCCCTTCTGTGGGAAGGAACTCTCTTGGCCTAAGTTCCTGGTCAGTCTTCTCTGGCCGCTGACTATAGGCAGGAGGCTCCTTTTGGCCATGAAAGTCTGCACTCTGGCCTCCTGACCCGATAGTGATGGCCACACACAGCCACCTCTCTACCTATAGCCTGATCTCATTCACACCAGAGTGGGTACCGAGGAATAAACCCTGGGTCTCTGCACTTAGCCTTGCCTCCAGTCCTTTTTTATTTTGAGACAGGTCTTAGCAAGTCACTAAATTGCAAAGGTTGGGCTCAAACTTTTGATCCTGCTGTCTCAGACTGCTGGCATTACAGGCATACGCCACCATGCACAGCTAGTGAAATAATTTTTAAAGTGATAGGCCTTGTGTGAAGTCAGTTGTGACAACTGTTAATATAAAGAAGCTGGCGCCATGACACCCCTTCTTCTGTCTGCACGTGGGCAGATGGTGGGTGCTCATCCAGAGCTGCCCATGGGACCCGTCTTGATCCATCCCCAGGGAACTGAGAATGGAACTGGTTCATTCTAGAAGTCCACCCCAGGAAGCGCACTGGTCTCCACCTACCATGGCTCCCACCTTCTGAAGGTCCAGAGACCTGTTTCCTGGGTGGTCTGCCTCCACTCTTGCCCTAACCCTGCCCACATCTCAGTACCCCAGGGGCAGGGACAAAGGACTGGGCCAGTTACTTAAGAACCCTCTGGCCACAGTGCCCTTCCAGCTTGTCCTGGAGGCAAGAGAGGGGCAAGGGGTCAGACTCTGGGGGGCACAGGCGAGGGCCAGAGCTGTGTGCCATCTACATCTTCCTGGGTTTTGACGGGACAGGAAGCTTCCTGCAGGCAAGACAGGCCAAGGGAGATAGCTCAGTTGAATAAGTGTTTGCCTGGCAAGCACAAGGTCCTGAGTTTGATCCCTGGTACCACCAAAAAAAAAAAAAAAAAAAAATCGAAGCAAGACAGGCCAGCCTTGCAGCACACTTCAAACCTTGAGGGCCAGACGGAACAAGGACTCACCGAGACAAAATAGGGGCCCGCGAAGTCCCGAATGACTCCAGTAGATGTGCAGATGCCCATGTGGCCGATGATGGGGAAAAACCACCTATGAGGAAAAAGGTCAGCTAAGGGATAGAGCGGGGGTGTGTCGCCTGTTAGACAGACACTGGGTATAATGCGGCGAAATGAGCACCCATGTGGGTGCTCCAGAGGGGTGGGGATGCCCGAGGAGGGTACCTGAGCACCAGCCCTGTGCTCAGCAGGGAGGCTCCAGCGAGAAGGCACAGCGTGGCCACAGGGGAGGGTGAGGAGCGGCTGCAGCCCTCCTCCACTGCTGGTGGGGTGTAAACAGCTCCCACAGCTTTGGGAGCTTGGGCCCGGAGCGGGGCACTGGCCCAGGCCTTGGCAGTGCTACTGCGATCACACGCCAACAGAAACAAATGCCTGGGGGCTGGCGAGATAGCTCAGTGGTCTAAAGCGCCTGCTTGTGGGGCCACGGAGATGGCTCAGCAGAATAAACGCTTGCCTAGCAAGTGCAAGGGCCTGAGTTCAATCCCCAGTTCCACAAAAGTAAATGAATAAATAAATAAAAAATAAACAAAGCAGTGAGGCTCAGGATGCTGTGGTTTGTCCCCATATCCTCAAGCCAAACCAGACCTGCCCTGAAGGCATCCTGAGGCCACCAATTTAAAAAAAAAAAAAAAAGTCCTTAAAGCGCCTGCTTAGGCAAGCATGCAAGGACCTCAGTTCGATCCCCAGCACCACCATGCCTGCCCCGCCGCCAGGGTGGGCTGAGCTGACCATAAAAAAAAATAATAATAAAGGAAACTTTTTTTTTTTTTTTTTTTTTTTTTGCGGTACCAAGGATCAAACTCAGAACCTTGCACTTGCCAGGCAGTGCTTATGCCACTGAGCTATATCCCCAGCCCTAAAGGAAACATTTTTTAAAAAAAGAAAAAAAAAAAGAAACAAATGCCTGTGCCCATGAAGCCTCACACAAAAACACTGATAACACCTTTAAGTAAAACAGCCAGAAACATCTGCCAAAACTAAGTTTAGTCAGGATGTAGGAATAGCTCAGTGGTAAGGTACTTGCCTGGCATGTGCAAGGCCAGTGTTCCACCCCAAGTGCCACAAAAGACAAAACCAAAAAAACATTTCATTGAACTGAACTCTTAAAGTGTATGCCTTTTTAGCCAGGCGTGGTGCATAGCTATAATCCTATCACTCAGGAGGCTGAGGCAGGAGGATCGCCATGAGTTTGAGGTCAGCCTGGGTTACATAGTGAGCTCAAGGCCAGCCTGGACTACATAGCGAGAGCCTATCTCAAAAAACAAAAACAAAACAAAACAAAAGCTTTGGTGTCAGTGGTACAATGGAGATGACTAAGGGAATATCATAATTTGACTTGTGGCCAATGTGACTACCCTAGCTGGCAATGGGAGTGCATGTGTGTAATCGCAGCACTCAGGAGGCTGAGGCAGGAGGATTGCTATGAGTTCAAGGTCAGCCTGGGCTACACAGTGAGACCTGTCTCTAATAAAACAAACGAACAAAAAAATAAGATGTATAGAACTGTACCAAAAAAAAGGATAGTTTATAAGACTGAACAGAGGGTCATATGTCCAAATAGTCATTAAACAGGTAGGGCATTAAATGAGGATTGCTGTGAGTTTAGGCAAGTTTGAGGCAACCTTGGGCTACGTGGTAAGTTTAAGGCCAGCCTGAACTACAGTGAGACCCTGTCTCAAAACAAGGACAACAGAACTGGGCCTCGGATATAGCTCAGTGGCAGTGTCTGCATTCGATTTTTTTTTTTTTTAATTGCATTATCTGACTTTATTTTTTTTAATTAATTAATTTGTGTGTGTGGCCAGCTCAGCCCACCAGGGGGCGGGGCTGGCTGGCATGTGGTGCTGGGGGATTGAACCGCAGTCCCTGTGCTTTGCTAAGCTTGTTCTAAGTAGGTGCTTTAGACCACTGAGCCATCTCACCAGCCCCCCCTCAATTTTTTTTTTTTTTTTAGTTTTGTTCATAGGTTTCCCCCCTCAATTTTTTTTTAAAGCCATGGATGTTTAAAAATTTTGGGCCAGGGAGATGGCTCAGTGGAAAAAGCGTTTCCCTGGCAAGCGCAAGGGCTTGAGTTCAATCCCTGGTTCCGGCAAAAAAAAAAAAAAAAAAAAAAAAATTATTGCCTGGCCTGGTGTGGTGTGTAACATGCACTTGGGAGGCAGAAACAGGAGGAGCACCTTGAGCTCAAAGCCAGCCTGGGCTCCATAAGCAAGCTCAAGACCAGCCTCACCTACATAGAGACCCTTTCTCAAAACACAAATTTAGGGGCTGGGGCTCAGTAGAATAAGTGCTTGCCTGGCAAGCACAAAGGCCCGAGTTCAATCCCCAGTTCTTTTTTCCCCAAAAAGAAACAAAACAAAACACAAATTTGTTTTCATTGCGAGGCCTGGCGTGATGGCGCACACCTGTAATCCAGGCATTCAGGAGGCTGAGGAAAGAGGATCACCGCCAAGTAGGAGCCAGCCTGGACTACACAGAGAGACCCTGTCTCAAAACACCAAAAAAGCCTGGTGTGGTAGCACATTTGTAATCCCAGCACTCAGGAGGCTGAGGCAGGAGGGTTGTTGCTGCTGAGCTGTATCCATGGCCCCTTTTTTTGTTGGTTTTAGATTCTCCAGATTGAACCCAGGGCCTTCATCCTGAGCTACATTCCCAATCTTTTTAAAAATGGTGTCCTCCTTTGTTCTGTTTTTTTCAGACAGGGTCTCACTATGTAATTGGGGCTGCCTTTGAATTCATTATGTAGCGTAAGCTGGCTAGGCAGGCTAGCCTGGCTAGCCTGGATTGTTGGGATTACAGGTTTACAAGCACGCACCATCACACCTGGGTATCATTATTTGTAGTGCTGAGGATCAAACTAAGGGATTTATGCTTGTTAGGCAAATGCTTTATCACTGAGCTACATTCTAGCCCTTTTACTTATTTTTTCCAACAGGGTCTGCGTTACCTACTGTGGCCTTGAAATTCCAGGCTCAAGTGACTCTGCTGCCTCAGCCTCCTAAGCAGCTGAGATTTTAAGTGCATGTGACTGTGCCCTGTGAGATTTACTTTTCAAAAACTGCCCTTGGCAGCTGGGCATGGTGGTGTGCACCCACAGCCCCAGCTTCTCAGGAGTCTGAGGCAGGAGGATTGCAAGCTCAAGTCCACACTGGCAACTTGGCAAGACTCTAAAATTAAAAACATCTGAGGAGGTAGCTCATTGGTAAAGTACTTGCCTAGCACACATGAGGCTCTGGGTACACCACCTGGTGCCAAAAAGAAAACAAAGGAAACCCCCCACAAATCTCAGACACTACTGTGACACGCAGGAAGCCCAGGTCTGTGGCAGCCTGAGAGCACAGCCCTACAGTGTGTTATATAACAAAATAGAATACAAAAACAAAAAAAAAAAAAACAAAAAACCACACAAAAACCCCCCACAGTACAGAAAGTATAGAAGAGGGGTGACAGGGCCAGCTTGAGCAGGACCCACAGGGTGAGCAGCCTAGTCCTAGTCTCAAGGCACCTGGCTGAGCATGAAGCACCTCGCTAGGGAGGTGGAGGTGATGACATGGGGCTGAGATGCAGGAGCAGACATTGTGGCGAGGCTGACTTTTAACTTTGACCTGAAAAAGGACAGAATATAGACAGGTAGAAAAGAAAACTCTAAAGCAGGAAAGTATGGCGTATGTTTTAAGAAGAGTAGGATGATGGGGCTGGGTAGATGGCTCAATAGAATAAGCGCTTGCCTGGCAAGCACAAAGGTTGAGTTCAATCCCTGGTTCCGCCAAAAGAATAGTAGGATGGATGTGAGGAGGGAGGCCAGATCAGAGACTGCTAGCCACACACAATCCTGGAGACCCCGGATCTGTTACTGTTTTTTTTTTTTCTTTTTCCACTGAAGACAGGATCTCACTATGCAGTACAGACTGTCCTTGAACTCACTTTGTAGCCCAGGCTGGTCTCGAACTCATAGCAATCCTCCTGTCTCAGTCTCCTGACAGCTGGGATTACAAGCATGCACCACACCTGGTTCTGCTTCGCTTTCTTCACAATATCCATGTACTATTATGTGAAATTATATACTGTCTCCCCCACAAAAATTCCATGAGAACAAGTAAGTGTTCACTGTAGCAGACCTTAGAGCAGCACCCGGTATACACCTGCAATCAAATGCTTCTGAACTGAATGAACCAATGCCCTGCGTGTAAGAATGGAGGGGTGCAGCTAATAGGAGGAACAACCTTTAATGTTCTATACACAGCACTGTAACTATAGTTAGTAACTTTTTAAAAAATTGTGCATTTATAAATAGCTAGACACTCAATAGAATAAGTGCTTGTCTGGCAAGCACAAGGGCTAGAGTTCAATCCCTGGTTCCACAAAAAAAAAAAAAAAAAAAAAAGCTAGACAAAGAAATGATGTCTCAAATAGTCCAATTACCCTTATCTGATCTCATATATGCATATACAGTGTATATGTACATATGTATTTTCCCCCCATTCCCAGGGCCTTCATACTGAGCCCCATTTCTAGCCATTTTCTAAAAACAGGGAGGGGGCCTGCCCCTTAGCTCAGTCCTTTGTGGCTGCTTCCACAAAGCTGTCAGGCTCAGGTTGCTGTGGTTCGATCCCCACAACTCAAGCAAGCCAAACCTGCCCTGAAGGCATTTGGAGCCAAAAATAAATAAATAAATAAAAATAATAAAAACAGTGAGACAGGGTCTCTCTCAAATTGTCTAGACTGAGTTCAAACTTGAGATCCTCTTGCCTCAACTACCCAGAATGCCAGGATGATGGACATTTGCCACCACCCCTGGCTATGATTATTATGTAAACAGGTACTGAAAAGTCACACCTGCTCCCTAAGTCGAGACAATTACTATGGGCCAATCAGAAGATGAGCTGAGTTTGGCTCTGATGTTGGATTTGGTGTAGTCATGGGAAGTTATTCATTCCTGTCTTTCTATGGAGGGTAATAAGTATTGGGACAGGTGGCTGGTGTAAGGATTACATAGGATCTGCTCTCAAACCTTGTATTTGGTAGTTGTGTAAATGTTACTATCTTCAGGTAGTCGATGAATAGCTTGCTACCTGGCTGAATGAACTGACAAGGAGTACGCTGTCATGGACCCATGGCAGTCCTAGGATGGACACTCAGAATTATGGGCAAGTAGCTCACCTGGCTTCTTAGACCCTAATCTCAGGATCTGCCCTGGCCCCGACTCCTTTCATCTGACTGAAGAAGGTCTGGCTTTGACCAACGCTCCACACACCACAGCTGTGATGGCAGCTGCCGAAGGAACAGAAATGAGTATTAAGCTGCTGGAGAAAACAACAGAGCCTCGTAGCTGTGGAAGCCCCAGAGCAACCGTCAAAGTAGCCTGTCACTCTGGAAGCTCCCGGAAGGCAAGCTCCAGAGCTGCTTTGTGGACAATGTCTGCTCAGCACCACTATATAGGAGATCCTTGGAATGGACCCTACAGCTCCACTGGGAAGGTAGACTGTCTCAGGGAAGGAGGCCCATGCTGCTTTCTAGGCCTTTCCTATGCCTTGGAGGAGGGAACAGTGGGTGATTTATTTCATGTGAACATGAAATCTTTAGAACAGAGTCCAGGACAGAGGAAGTGCCCAATCTTGGTTGTTTTTATTGGTAGCAGCAGCAGCAGCTATTGCCTGGCTTTTCATACAGAATTATTAACATCCCTGAAGGGGCAGACAGAGTTTTGGATTCAGTTTCCTCCTTTGATTTCTCTTCCAATAGAGCTGTGGTTCCTTGTAGCGCATCTGTTCCTAGTTCTGTCCTCTTTCAGTGACACTGAAATGCCTCGCAAGGGTTAGTCTGCTGTCTCCCTCCTCGTTCCGCTGCAGGGCAAGTCCTCTGAAGGGAGCGTGAGCGGTTCCCCTTGGTCTTACGGATACCTCTGCACACAGATCTGGGGAGAAATGGCATGTGAGCTGCTTCTAGTTCAGATGACTGGGGGTCGTGGTGTCTCTCTACCTCATGCTGCTACCATTCTCTGCAGTGAACCCTGTCACACGTGGTATTTTTGAAAATGAGGAGGGGCCAAACAGACCTTAGGATAATAGGATAGGTTTTGGCAAAATCAATACATTCCCTAAGTATCTCTCCCAAAAACTCATACATTAACATTATAAATCTTCTTTGTAGCACTAACCACTAACAAGTTTTACTGTTAGTTTACTTTCTAAACTTGCACAACTTAAACTGGGTAAGAGCCTGGCATAGTGGCATGTGCCTATAATCCCACCTGGTTGGGAGGCTAAGGCAGGCGGATCAGAAGTTCAAGCCCAGCCTGGGCATCCCTGTTGCAAAACAAAGCAAATTGGTAGGGATATACCCCAGCACTCCCTGGGTTCAATTTCCAGTACTACAAAAAAATTCTACGGAGGCAAACATTACATTTGCTTCATTCAACTCTGTACATTCTTACTACCTACAATGATCTGGACACAGGCAAGTCTCAGCAAATGTGTTAAAAAAAAAACTAAGCTGAGAGTGGTGGTGTACACCTGTAACCCCAGCACTTGGGAGGCTGAGGCAGGAAGACTAATTCGAGTTTGAGATTGGCCGGGCCTACATAGTGAGTTCAAGGCCAGCCTGAAATACATAGTGAGACCCTGTCTCAAAAAATAAACAAAAAAGAACAATGAATTGAACAAAAATTCTTAAATATTTTATTTTTAAAAACTTAGATTTGGATGCCCTTTTTTTTTGTGGAACAGGGGATTGAACTCAGGCCCTTGCGCTTGCCAGGGAAGTGCTTATTCTACTAAGCCATCTCCCGGCCCTGGATGCTCTTAAATGCCTAAGCATTTGAAACAATTCAAGTATTTTAAGCAAAATACAAAAATTAAAGCCATTTTACGATTAGCAGCATATATATAAGCCCGCATCATCACTTGGTCTTTTTTTGTTTTGCGGGGGCAGTACTGGGAGGCTGAACTCAGGGAACACTGAGCTGCACTCCCAGCCTTTTTTATTGAGACAGGATTTTGTTACATTGCTTAATTTGGCTTTCAACTTCTGATTCTCCTGACTCAGCCCCCTAAGTAGGCAGGATTATGCTCCAGTGGAGCAATTGGTCGCGCACAGTACTTATACAGTAGGCAGGATTACAGGCACGTACCATCATGCCACTTTCTTGGCTGTTTTTGATAAAGGAAACAAAACTATTTCACTTAGTGAGAGGGAATAAGACGTAGTTTAAGGGAGGCGTGGTGGCACATGACTGTAATCCCTGGGAGGCCGAGGCAGGACAACCCTTGAGAGTTCAAGGCCAATTGGGGCTACATAGTGAGACCCGGTCTCAAAAAGAAAAAATATAAATATGAAAGACATTAAGTTAAAAAAAACCATAAAGACAGTAAATTAGACAGTAGACAGTCAGATGACTTGAATTCTGAATGTCCCTGTTTTCAGGATCTGGTCCTTGACCAAGACAGTCCTTAAGAAGCTCAGCTTCACCATGGGTCAAGATAATTCCTACCTTAAAAGTGGTGGTGAAACAGCGGAAACGGGAGTAAAAGACTGACAAACTGTCCCACAATGGAGGAGCGGTTACTGTCACCAGTCACCGAGGCTGAAACAGGAGGGCAGCAAGCAGCATCTTGTCCCTGCTCCTCTCCTGACCTTTACACTGCTTCTCTACAGAACCTTCGGTCCAGTGCAGACGCCCCGGGACCTGCACCTGCTTTGCAACCGAACCAATGCTGACATCCCAGGCGCGCGGTGGCCCGGGCCAATCTCCCCACTTTTTCTCCCAGACGCAGCAGGATGTCTTGGGTCTAAGTGATCAGTAAGGGTCTGTTCGGGAGTGCATAAACCTGTGAGGGAATGCAGGCGTCTCCTCAAGAGCTGTTTGGGCGCCCCTTCTGCACGCCTGCAGCTCTCGAGCTTCCCAGCCCCTGGCCTTTCCGCCGCCCTATACTCGTCTCTCTCGGACTAGTCCAGGTATCACGCGAGCCGGGAGCGTGTCCCATCCGAGAAGGGGACGGGCACCTTGCAGCGGCACCACGAAAAGGGCTGGGTGCGGGCAGGGGGCCGGAGGCTGGTCCACACTCGCCCGAGGTCACCGCGAAGGCCCGTCCTCTCCCTGAACGCTCCTCGTTCCCGCGCACACACTAGAGAAAAACTCACGTAAGCACCGGGATGGGCGTCCACACCACGCAGTAAGGGAAGCGGCTCCGCTCCACGTCCATGGTGACGGAGCAGGAGCCGTGGTACTGTTTCATGTCCGTCTCGGCCGCCGTCGGCACCTCCACTTCCGCCATTCCGGGAGGGGGCGGCAGCGGCGGCACCAGCAGCGGAGAACTCCCTTCCGCTTCCGCCATGCCGCGCGCGCCGCGCTCCAGCCGACCCTGCTGCGGGGCTGCTAGTCGCCGTGACGTCACTTCCTGGAGGTGGGGTCCGCGCTGCTCGGCCTTCCCCCGGGAATTGGAGTCGCGTCCCCGTGGGCCCGGCCCTTTCGGGGCACGCACGCAGGGCACGTTTGCAGCCTGCGCTGCCCTCAGGCAGCTCTCAGTCTGGCTCCGTAGAACAAAGGCGAATTCTCGGATTCAATAATCGCAGGGCTTCTAATAGATGTACTGCACGTGCCATTTATTGAGCACTTGCTAAGTGCCAAACCATTTGACAAATCTTCTGATTCCGGTAAACTGATTAGACATGCAAATTGAGGTATTTTCCCCGTAAGTGAACAACTGAAGCCTTACAGGGGAAGGAAAGGCGCCACGACTCAAATCCCAAATCTGTATTTCTTTGGCCATTTTCCGTAGCCTCTCACAAGGTAGTGATAAGAGACAGACACACCCATCCACCCAATCGAAGATACTTGAGTCTTCAGTTTGCCAGGTGGCACAGAGAGGGGAGTGGATGCAGCGGGCATCCCTGTGTGCAGAAGACAGTATCGTCCTGTAAAATCACAATACTTAGATGTGATCTAATCCCTTCATTGTGTAAGTGGGAAACTCGGGCTCCAAGAAATTAAGTCAGTAATACCGACAGGTCAGACTCCAGTTTTGGAGTCTTTTGGCTTTTAGATAGACAAAAATAAAATCTGCTGAGAGGGAGGGGGAAGACGGGAAGGAAGGCAGCTCATAAAAGTCAGGCTAAAGCAACATATGGACAGACCCACTCGGAAGGTAAGAGCTGTGTGCTTTGGCACAGTCTTTTTTCCATTCAATTATTCTTCCTTAGTGCTGAACTATGGAAAGCCTGTGTTCCTTTTTTTCTTTTTTGCAGAACCGGGGATTGAACTCGGGCCCTTGCGCTTGCCAGGGAAGCGCGTATTCCACTGAGCCATCTCCCTGGCCCTCTGCATTCTTTGACACATAATATTTTAATGCATTTCTTGATAGTTTCTGCTATGTAACTCTAAGGTTCTTGATTTTAGTAGCTAGTTAGCACAGTTCCTGGTGGAGAGCAAATGCTCATTGTTCACTGAGTTTTTGTTTTTTGTACCAGGAATCATCAAACTCAGGCCCTCATTTGCTAGGCAGGTGCTGAACTGCTGAGCTACATCTCTAGCCAGCCCTGCTCATTGCTTATTGAATAGGTGTTTTGTTTTGAAGTAGGCATTTTTGAAGACCTCATAGTTACCACAGCTGAAGATAACTGTACCCCATTCAAAACTGTGTGTGTGTGTGTGTGTGTGTGTGTGTGTGTGTGTGTGTGTGTGTTCTGGGCCTTCACATTCTGAGCTCTTTTCTAATTTTGACACAGGATATTGCTAAATCGCTCAAGGACTGGGTTTAAACCTGCAGTCCTCCTGCCTCAGCCTCCCAGAGTGATGAGGTTACAGGTTTGTAACACCAACCACGATGGCTCACTCAAAAATTCTTTGAGGATGTTTGTACTTGTTCTGTGGCTCTTGCAATGTGTGATCCCAGAAGGGTAACAACCAGCTTCCTACACAAGGCTTGGAATAGATTAGGTCTACCATATACAGTTGTTGGGCCTGGGGAGATACTTCATAGAATAAGCACTTGCCTGGCAAGCACAGGGTCCTGAGTTCAATCCCTGGTACCGCAAAAAAACAAAACAAAACATTAACTTTTTTTTTGCTGTGGCAGCCACAGCCATGAATAAGCTCAGGCTTCAGGGGAGGCTGGCCCCCAGCGTCCTCTGCTGTAGCAAAAAGGTCTGGTTGGACCTCAGTGAGACCAATGAAATCACCAATGCCAATTCCCACCAGCAGATCTGGACATTGATCAAAGATGGGCTGATCATCTGCAAGCCTGTGACCATCCATTCTCCGGCGCGATGCTGGAAGAACACCTTGGCTCACGGAAGGGCAGGCACATGGACATCGGTAAGCAAAAGGTTATGGCCAACGCCTGGTTGTCGGAGAAGGTGACCTGGTTGCGCAGAATGCGGATCCTGCGCAGGCTGCTCCAGAGATACTCTAAGATCAACAGGTACACGTACCACATCCTGTACCTGAAGGTGGAGGGGAATGTGTTCAAGGACAAGTGGATCCTCATGGAGCACATCCACAAGCTCAAAGTGGACAAAGCCCGCAAAAAGCTCCTGGCTGGGGGCCGGGGAGATGGCTCAGTAGAATAAGCGCTTGCCTGGACCTGAGTTTAATCCCTAGTTCTGGGAAAAAAAAAAAAAAAAAAAAAAGCTCCTGGCTGACCAGGCCAAGGCACACAGGTCGAAGGCCAGGGAAGCGCGCAGGCGCCATGAGGAGCGCCTGCAAGCCAAGAAGGAAGAGATCATCAAGACCCTGTCCAAGAAGGAGGAGAGGAAGTAGTGCCCCTAGTGTACGGAGAGCTGACAGGTCCCAAATAAAAGAGCTCTCGTCCATTTAAAAAATAAATTAAAAAAATAGGGGCCAGGGAGATGGCTCAGTAGAATAAGTGCTTGCCTGGCAAGGGCAAGGCCCTGAGTTCAATCCCCGCAAAAAATAAATAATAAATAAATAAATGATCTGGGGGAGTAGCTCAATGTAGTATCCCTAGGCTGGCTACCTGGCACCTCAAAAAAAAAATAAAATTATATATATATATATATATATCGTTCAATGAATAAATGATTTTAATTTTTTTGTGTGGCATACATCTTTACTGCATAAACTTTTCCTTTTTTTTAGATTGAACCCAGGGAGGCACTGCAACACTTGAGCTAAATTCCTCAGCTGTATTTATGTACTGGGAATTGAATTGAGGGCTTTCACATTGAGTTGTATTCCTAAGTTTTCTTTTCTGTTTTTTTAATTTTGAGATAAATTCTCCGTTACTAAATTACGCAGCCTAGGGTTGAACTTTGAAATTTTTTTGGCAATGGGGATTAAATCCAGGAGTGCTCTATCATTGAGCAACATCACCAGCCATTTATTGATTGATTGATTGATTGATTGAGAGACAGGGTCTTGGAGTATTACCCAGATGGGATTTGAATCTGTGATCCTCTTGCCTCAGCCTCCCTCAGTGCTGCGATTACAGATGGGCACTATGTGCCTGGCTGCTGTGAGCCTTGGTATGGTGCTTCTGGAGACTGGTGGGCACAGTGCTGAGGCACAAGTTCTGACCAGAGCCCCAGCTCCCTTCCTTACAGCCTGTGTTGCCCTCCTTCTGGCCTGGGCAGCTGCAGAAGCAGGGACATAATGGCCAGGTAGCCGGGGAAGAAGCTAGTTGCTTCTCTGACTCTTCCCGAGCCTTTCAAGCTTGTTCTCCTCCGCAGCCTGCCCACAGGGCCCCTTCTTATGCACAGTCCCACTTGGTTCTCACCCAGTGTAACAGCTTCCCTGGCTGTGTCCTTACCTCCTTTGCTCCTGCTTTCCTTTCCACCCATAGACAGATGGGAAATCTCCACTAAAGGCTAACACTGCCTCCCAGGCTCAGAGGATCACAAAGGGGGCCTGAAGAGGCTCCTTTACATGAAGAGTTTAGAACAGGATTGACAGGGTTCAGAGCTACTCCTCCCCCAACACGTACATTGACCAAAAATAGGAATGACCATCTGGATCCACTTACAAGGTTGGCTGAGGGAAGGAAGGGTGGCAGAGTGGGAACTGTCAAGCTGGCAAAACTTTGAGGGTAAGATGCTGCTGTGTGAAGGGTGTGGGGGCACTTCCTGGCTTGGCGGGAGGCAGGGCATTCCCTCAGTTGGTCTCATATAGGGGTCCCCAGGGCTCAGAAACCCCCTCCCTCAGGCCATCATTTCATTCTGGCACTGAAGGCTCCCTATAGTCTGACCCCAGGTTTGGCTTCCAAGCCTGCCTCCTGTTTCCCTCCAGCTTGCTTGGAGCTTGCCTCGCTGGGCTATTTGCCTTTCAGAGGACAAGCTGTGGACCTCATAGCTCGTGCCTTTGCTTAGGTGTACTAAGTCAGGAATGTCCTTTTCTTCCTCGTATTCAAGGTTCTGGGCAAATGCCCTCCCTCTTTGCTCCCTGAGCACAAAGGCTGTTTCCACTTACTGAATATTCATGTATTTTGCTGTGAACTCCTTGAAAAAAGGGCCAACTGGATCTGCCGGTCCCTGTAGTCAAGTTGAGGACTGGCAGATAGGATGCTTTAGTGTCCCAGAAAGTATCTGTTGACCATAGCAGATTTCCTTATGGGGAAGCCTCACCTCAACCAATTCTACAACAGTGAAACCAGGCGGAGGCAGAGGGCATGAAGCCACAAGATGGTGGAGTTGCTGGCCCCGATACAGTGTGCGGCATGTAGGAGGGAGGTCCTCTCCTTTGCAGCCTTTCTGCTAGCACCATCATCTTCCCTCTCTGACTACAGGAGACTGAGCATCTCTGTGTTATGGCTACTAAGTTCCCCATGGTTGGGCGAGAACTAGGGGCCAATATACTGCAAGAAACTATTTGACAACTGCCTCTGATCTTTTAGACATCTGAGTTTACAACACTACTTCATACCTCATTCCATTTTATAGATGGGTAAACTCTACCAGGATTACAGAATTAGAACTAGAATCAGTCTTCCACATGGGGGCGGGCAGTAAAGCATGAGTTTAAACATGTGGACTTAGGTGCCAGCCTGCTTACCCGGTGTTTGAACCTTAACTCTGTCACCTTAGGAAAGCAACTGAACATGATGTCATGCCATCAGTCTTATCTCTAAAATAGGAAAAAAACAATCCAATTCTTGTCCTGGTTTATTTGTGGAGTTTAATGGCTGGTATCTGGTGCCTGGTCAAAATATTCAGTGCTAGCCGGTGTAGCAGATAAAACCACACATCACTATTGTAGGACCCATAACCACATCAAAAGCACTTTGATGTGTATAATCTGATACAGAGCATCCTTACAATGCAGTGAGATAACCAGAGAAAGTAACACAATGCCATGCCATTCTACCAAAGAGAAAATAACAGAAGAGGTTCAGGGCCATGCCTGA